TATACTACAACTAATACTTACGTCTCTCTGTGAGAGTACTATACTACCTACAAAAGTAAGACAACTTATATATATATATATATATATATATATATATATATACACATATATCGGAGAAGTGCAAATTGTGTTAAGTAAATCTCTGTACTTGGAAGTAAGTATAATAAGGTTGTGATGATTGGATTTTAATCAGTGTCATGGTTAGTAGTCTATATGATCACCTAAGTCTAATTATTAATTAGTAACTTTTTTTCGTGGAAATCTTTGGATAGCAGCTGAAATGTATAACTAGACTAGTTATTAATTAGTATCTAGTTTAAAAAAAATTAATAATTATGACTTAAGCAATCATATTGGCTACTTGCTACTTGTAATAGTACAGACAAAAGACTTTAAAGTTATGAGCAGTTCAATTATAATTTCATTTTCTAAATGGTTGTACCAATTTATTTTCATTAGCAGTGACACATAGATGGCCCTCATGTAGCTTTGTGTGAAATATAACAAAGAAACAGAAAAACCAAAATTTATGTGATCAGAAACTAGTGATTTGTAATTTTAAGTAAAAGCGTAACCCGTTATGGATCACTACAGGGTTTGTAAGATGTACAAGACAAAAACTGAATTATAGTTATACAAGAACTATATGAATAAACTATTTTACTTTAACTAAGATGTGCTTATTAATTATAATATGGCTAATAGTGAAAACTTAGCACTTGAGTTGTTTCTAAAATTGACAGTCTAGAGAAAATATGCTTTCTTATTGCACCTCAAGTAAAAATTAACTGGTCATAAATAGAAAATAATATAAATAAATGGATTATCTGGACATCAAAACATTATTTTTTAAAATATAAAATATGATGTGCACAGCATGATATCCTTCTAGTAGCTGTGATTTGATCTCAGATCTCTAATTAACTTTTAACATTTTATGTAGCTACATACAGGAATTGATCAACATAACCTGTATTTTTAGGTGTTGTGGAATTTCTAACTTCTGGAAGAGTATCTGTAGATCACCCAGACTTTAAGAAACTAGGTTACAAGGATTGCCTCCGAAAACTGAGTAGCACAGATAAAACAAGTGAATACACCCATTGTTTCATGTTAGCCAATGCTTACAAAGAAGATTTCATGACTTACACAAATTACACGTAAGTTAAACAGTTGGTAAATGATTGTTGAAATAATAGTCAGTGCAACATTTGATTTAAAAATCAGATATCTCTCCTCCTTTAATATAAAGTGTATCAAATTTATAATACGTGAACGATGTCAGAAAGAAAGCCAGTTGTTATTCAATTCAGCTATTGGCTGATCATAATTTTTTTCTTATTCTGTGTTTGTTACATTCCTTTTTAACAAGAAAGGTTATTTTTATTTTTTACTTAGTGAAATGACAATAATCTATTTTGTTCATTGCTTTAAAAGTTGGTAAATGTTCAAGAGGAGTATATTTACCATACTTAACTTATTTTAGCATATTTCTATAATACTCATATTTTCTGTTATGAAAAATAACTTTCTTCACGTAAACTTTCTGATTAATACAACAGTTTTATATAAAAGAAATGCCATGATAATGCATATAGACTGTCCTCTTTCTGTAACATCATTTTCTCTTCTACAGTAAAACCAACATCATGGTATTGTATTTCTTTGTAAGCAAAACATAAAAATTCAATTTTGATCAATTGATTTGCAGTATTATTTTTCTTTCTTTACTTAAAGTAAAAATGAAATGATCAAGAACCTTACTTATCAATGGTAAATTCTATCCATAATAGTCCTTACAGTTAGGCTTAAATCATAAGCATTTCGTAGCTAAAGTTTTTCTCATCTTCCTTCTCATTCACTGAACTGAACTTGAAGAACCTGAAAAATTAGAAGTTTTATGGAATGACAAAAATATCAGTGGTGAATTGTGTATAATGAGAATCTTTATATGCAACTTGGGTAATCATTTCCATACTGGTTATAAATACTTTTGATGATTTAGTTAGTCCTTTCTTTACTGGTGAGAATCATTGTTTACCATTTCCTTTACTGGTGAGAATCATTATTTACCATTTCCTTTTCTGGTGGGAATCATTGTTTACCA